GAAGAATACATCCTTCAGACTGTAAAAACCGAGGCTGAGTTGATACGGGATTGAGTAATTGCCTAATTATACTGGAGACTCAGGGATTTCTGTGACAGCAGAATCCACTGTGGTGGCGCCATAGGGACCCTAAAGTTCAATTTGGACTGGGAAAGATGAAGAAAGATCTCCATTCCAAAATAAGGCATTTCGAAACACAACAATACAACATGAGGGAGCAAGCAAACTCATACAGACACCTTTTAAAAAAACAAAAACAACCCTTCAGATCCGGAATGAGATTAAAATATGAAAACATAAGAATGGGACGGGATTATGTTCCCTCTGCCCCAACCCAATTGCTGATGGACCTTAGCAGCACAAATGTTACCTTCCCAGTTAAAGAAAGGAGGGTGTAAAGAGATTTGGTCTTTGATCATTTCCATGTTCCCTTTTAAATTGCACTACTGCAAAATCCAGTTTAAGGGATATCCAGTTTAAACCCCTGAATTGCTTTGCTGTTCCTTTCGACAATTAAACCCATACCTTCATTTAAAAAAAACATAAAAAGGCAGCTCCCAGGAAATTCACTTCATCCTTCCTTTTTTTTTTTAAGAAAGAAAAGTAAGAAAACATGTTAATGTTAAGCCACAAGTTCTACTCTTTAACGTTTTCCTTTTTTTTTTTTCCATCACCATGTCAAAAACAGGGTTTGTTCCCAAATGTGTAGGAAGAGGTACGTGAATAGGTTCTGTGAAGATGTTGGGGGAAAGAGATTGACAACAAAGTGACTGGGGGGACTGATGCCTCAACTAGGCCTGACCCACTGGTTGCCCGCAGTAACCATCACAGGCTCTAAAAGAATCAAAAGGTCTTCAAGTGCCCCACCCACTCCCATGATCCGCTAAGCGGTCATGTTTGGTTTTTTTTAACCCAAGCTGGTGATGTTGGCGCGTCCACCAGGTGGTGCCACTATGCGCTGCGTAGTACGGCGTGGAATATTATCATCGATCTGTGCACCTAGGAAGGGTGAGAGAGAGAGAGAGAGAGAGAGAGAGAAGAGGTAAGAAGGCAACAAGATCAGGCATAGATGGTAATCACATTAATCATTTTGTCGAAATGCACTCCAAGCTTATCAGGCTTCCAGCCAAAGGATCTGGCATACTCTGGCATCCTACCTTAACAAAAAACTGCATCAGTTTTACGCCCATGCAACTTTGATTGTGCTTTCACCAGGGGAATCCTGGGAAATGTAGTTTGTCAAGAGTGTTTCTTGGTTAAAGAAGCCACCCTTTTCCAAATATACCCCCTACAGTAAGTAAATTTAAACAAGATACACTGTTACAGAGATGTGTCTTCTGTCTAAAAATATAGCTTAATTTTGGCAACAGTTTAATATGCTATAATGCATATAATTACAGTACATTATTACAGAGTTCAGAGTTTTCAATGTTCTAAAGTTTAACTTAATATATCAATTTCCTGGTAGTCATACCTATTGTGACTGTTTAAGAGTTTCTGCACAAACAATGTACTTTCTTTTGTTTTCTACTGAATTTGTTTTCAATTTTTTCCTACCTCTCAAATAGCAAAAATTAAAATTCTTGTGCTATGGTAGCACAGGAAGCAACAATTTGCAACTGTTTCGCAAACACTGGGTAGTACAATTTTATATCCTAAGTTATAAATGATGCATTTTATATGTTAAAACTGTAAAATCTTGATTTGATAGTAAAGTACTGCATGTATTTCAATTTCCCCCAGATTTTTCATATTTTGTTTCTTTAAAAGGAAATAATCATTATTTTTCCTGCGGCTGCAAAAATTCCTGAAATTCTACATCTCTAGTTACGTGCATATCCCTGTGGTCTCAGGCTTCATTTGAAGGAGGGCAAAAGCTTCAGGGCCTCAGTGCAGAAAAGTTTCAAAGTGGGTGGGTGATGCCTGGTGAAATCTCAGGAGGATTTTTAGCTAGGCTTCAGTGGCCAGTGTAGCTCCTTGTGACTATCAGAATTTGCATGAGGCTTGCATGGAAGACTTGCATGACGTAGACGAGTTATTAAAAGCATGAGAGCCTAAAAGCTTACAGTTTGCACATGATAAGCTGCAGAAAGCGTCTTGACTAAAATGTTCTAGTACCAAAACCTTAAGTACATGGGTAGCCGTGTTAGTCTGTCTGTAGTGGCAGAAAAGAGCAAGAGTCCAGCTACAGCAGAATTTGCATCTGTATCTGAAGAAGGGAGCAGTGACTCATGCGAGCTCATACCCTGCTCCACAAATTTTATTAGACTTTACGGTGCTGATGGACTCTTGCTCTTTTCTGCTTAAGCAAAACAGACATTCCTCTTCAGGGAAATAGGATTTCACAGGGATCTTGTCACATAGTGATAGCAAAAGTTACAATGTACTGGGTGTAAACAGATCCTCTCTGAATCTCAAGCGCAGATTAGCTATTATTCCCTATTGTGATTCAGCAAAATATCCAATTATAGTTAGTGGGGGAGATACAGAACACAAAACAGGTTTGATCATTAATTTCCTGCATCATGTCTGTTTCAACCCCAAGTTAAAATTCTTCTCCTCCTTTACAATGATCCTCTAGAACTGCATATATATCAGAAGACTGTTTTCATACTGGGGTGGGAGGGAGGGTGGTTAGAAGAGGAATTCAAGACAACAAAACAACAAGAGTTCACCATAATAATTTAGCCTCACATAAGTATGTACCAGACAAGCTAAATCCAGACTGGTGCAGGTTCCTAACAGGCGGGGCCTGCTGCTTCGCTGGAGAGGTCTTGGCCGAGGATGCTGGTGTGACTGTTTTCGGCGTCACCGAGACTTCACAGACAGGGCCATCGTACAGGCCTCGGGGCACACCCCTCAGCTCAGCCAGCTAAAGTGGGGGGAAAGCATACAAAAAAGGTAAGAGAAGACCTACATAGGAACAAACATCAACCCATGCTATAGAGTGGATTATATACCTTCCAGTCCACTACCAGGACCAGGACCAGTGTTCCCGCTAAGCTGAGTTAGTGTGAGCTAGCTCACCGTTTTTTAGCCTCCGGCTCACACATTTTTGTCTTGGCTCAGGAAGGATGCCTCCAAAGCAACTAATTTATGCAGTAGCCAAATTGCTCACTCACAACTTTCATGCCAGTAGCTCACAAAGTAGAATTTTTGCTCACAAGACTCCACAGCTTAGAGGGAACATTGACCAGGACCTGTCTGGAAACTGATTGGGAGATAAAAAGGTAGCACACTCCGCATACACAAGGTGGGGAGCAAGGTGATGCCCACCTGTTTCTTCCACTCAGTGAACCTGCCTCACTGCTGAACATCTGTGCAAAGGCTTGAAGCTAGACTTGAGCACAGACATTCTAGATTGCATGGTTGACTATTCAATGTGTGTGTGTGTGTGTGTGTGTGTGTGTGTGTGAGAAATGCCATTGGGTTGCTTCCAACTTATGGTGACCCTATGGCCTCCAAAACATATTATCATTAACAGTCATTCTTAGGTCTTGCAAACTGAGGGCAATGGCTTCCTTTATAGAGTCAATACATCTTGTGTCTTCATCTTTTCCGGCTGCCTTCCACTTTTCCTAGCGTTATTGTCTTTTCCAGTGACTACTCAATAGTATCTGGGAATTGACTGCATGATCTGTATGTACATACACCTATTTGGCTACTAGGCTCCAGCTTGCATGTTCAGAGGTGGGACAGGTGCAACACCATTCCTCCCAGTGTGCAGGGTAGCAGGTTGGCCTTTGTAACCTCAGTCTGGCATTTTGAGATTTCCCTAATATAGTTCATAGAATAAAACTGCAGCAGTTCAAAGCGCTAGTGGGAGTTTCAGTTGGCAGACACTCATCCCAGCTGTATGTGAATCCCTCCTGAACAGAGTATCACAGGCCAAATTTTCTGATACTGCAGAAAAACAGCATGCCAAAACTGACTCCACTCTATTCAGTAGCTAAATTCCAACCAGACTATATTAGCCAGCAGAGGGCAGTGTTTGAAACATGTCCATCTGGCTCCATTTCCGAGCGCTCCTGAATAATGTTAGCCAAGATGTACAATTACACTATTGTACTTTGTTGACACACCATTGATTTGACCAAAGTGCTGTTGATTTACAACTGGATTTGGCTCTAAAAAGAAAATCAAGCCATGCTTCATTGTGAATTCTATCCACGTTTGCTTTTTGTTTCTGACCTCAGCTAGTTGGCTGAATAGACCTTTAGCAAAAAGACTGTCCTAGCCATTTGTTTTACCAAAAACATAATGTCAATGACAGTGTATCTTTTTTTTTTTTTGGATCAGGCTGTAACTTCATTTCAAGTTCTTTTTATTTTTTGGTAGAGATAATGACTTTTTAAAAAAAAAAGTTTATTAGTGTATTAACACTTTCTGAATAATGCATTTTGTCCTTCCGGAATTAGAGCTAATTCTATATGCTCTTTGCCCAACGATCACAAGTGCAGGGTAGAA